ACTGATTTCTCAGCTGAACTGAACATGTGCCAGATCAGACATCTCCCATACTAATGGTGAAAAGCTCTACCATTTAATTTCAGGCTTCAAGGAGAGATTATTCTTGTCACAGGTACAGCGAAACCTGAAATTAAATTTATTAAAAAGCTTTGGTATATTACAATTAAGAAATGAAAAGTAAATCCCCGTTTCATTGATTTGTGCATTGGCCACCACTTAAAAATCAGCACATAATATAATAATAGAATAAAAGGGCAGACTATAATGAAAATAATTCAGCCTTTTTATTGTATACAGAACTCCAAAGTAATCTATTTGTTTATAAAATAACCTTAGGCAAATAATAAAAGCAAACCAAATTGAATTTTAAAGTTGCTAACTTTAATAAATAGATTAAAAACAAAAACAAAAAAAGCCACCAACTACCTCACAATGGGCAAAATAACAGAAAGGCGGTTATTGTGTATTCCGTAGCTTACCTGATCATGGTCAAGGTCTGCATCTCCAGTGATAACAATCCGCTTTTCAATTCTGGTTTCTGACACACCACCTTTTATTGTCTACAGGGTACATAAGTTAAAAAGAGAGAGAGGGAGTTACTTAATATTCCAGCAAAGTGAATCTTCTGCAAAAAGAGAGCAAAGTGATGCAAATTTAGCCTCTGTCACACAACATAATGAATACTGTAGCAAAAATGGCAAAACTTTCAAGGAATTCATTAGTGTATTATAAGGCAGCACTAGATCTATCCTGGTTAGGGGAAGAAGTGGTGATTGCCCATTTCTCAGGAGGTCCAGCTGTACTTGCTGGAAACACTTCAGATGCAGGTGCATCTCATCACTCAGTGCACTCAAATCTTCTCAGCAGGGCTTTAAGAGTATTACAAGAGAAGAAAGGTGGTCAAAGCTTGAGGGAAAAAAATCAAACTTTTTTCTACTGTTCATATATGTCATGTAAAATATTCTGGAGATTGCGATTCATCTTATCTTTTATAGGCTCAATTAGAGTAAATCCAATTCTTTTTTTCTTCAAGCATTATTGAATTATGTACTACAGATACACTGTTGCAACCTGACACTAAAAAGGTGTGCTTCACAAGCATTCCTCCACCTTCCTCCCAATGCTGATGCTCTTAAAAACCTCCCATCTAGATAGAAGAGAAGGAGAAAACAGTGAGTGGTAATAGTATTGTGTTGTAAAACTTTGTAAAAGGAGGGTTATTTGCCAGAGGATTTGTTAACTGAGATATGCTTATATACATCAGGACAGGGGTATAGGTTACCTTAGAAGTCTTAGATGCTTGCAAAGTGCCATGTGAAATGTCTGAAAAATCCTGTCTGACCAAAAATGTTCCAAGGCATGTAACACAATAAAAGTTAAAGGGCTCAAAAAGAAGCCAACACATCATGAGATCTTCTACTGTTTCTCACAGATTTTATCCAGTAACTAAAGTAAGATATATTTCAGGGTCCATTTCAAAAAATCTATTTATAGTGCAAGACAGCAAAATTTTAAAGTCAGATTCCAGTTGCTTTACCTTTGTAATGTGTGTGGTGGTGGTTGTAGAAAGAGATTCTGCTGTGATCGTCTGTGCACTCAACAGTACACCAGCATCACCACTGCCATCAAACTGCATAGTTAAGAAAGGAAAACATTAAAGTCTATTAAATAAACCAAACAGAGGCACTGGTTAAATATTATGATCAAGGAGGCAACTCACACAATGTGGTTTAGCCCTTCCATCATGTGGAAGCAAAGATGGAAATCACATAAAGTTCAGAGTCAAACAAAATTGTTAGGGGCTTCTTCCATTTCCCTGCAGTTTCCTTCCAAAGTTCTGTCTTAAACAAGCTATATACACCTATTGGGTGTGTGTGTGTGTGTGGGGGGGGGGGGGGGGGGGGGGGGTGGTTACAGAGAACACAAGCCACAATTTGGTCTATTTTTCTATTTCTATTTTCCCACTACAGCCACGTTACTAGGAGGACATGGATGTATCTCTGAACCATTTAGACACTAAGTTATTGCTTACTTTCTAGAGTAACAATTCATGATCTTCCAGGTTTAGTGGCTGCACAGGATAACATGAATGTATCTAAGTGATGTATAGCCATAGTGATGTTTTGGGTGAGGCTTCTTTTTCTCGCAGATTATCTTCTTGAGGGCAGTTTGAGAAGGAAACTCCAGGGAGAGGGAACTGGGTCTTTAAGAACATCTAAAGGTCATGTGACTACTGCCTTTGATTCTGGGTGACAGAAAGGATAGCCCACATGGTGAGGATTGCTCCTGTGCATGTTCCAGATACTTTTTTTGGTGGAAATATTACTCAAGGGAGCAGACATTTCTAAAATTCACAATATACTAAACACTACTGAACATAATTCAATCTTTGTCAAAAATGTCTCAAACAGCAGAGGTTAGGGGGATGAAGAAGAAATTAAATCTAAAATCTAAATCCTAATATTGCATTAGAAATATGAGTATTAATTTTTTTTCGGAATGTCAGTTCTAAGAACCCTAGACACAGAAGAACAAAATATAGTAGTACATGCACTGATGACCTCAAGGCTACATTGGGCTATTTTTGCATTATGTTTGAAAACTTCAATTAGTTCAAAACATGTCAGCCAGATTGATTACTGGCAAAACTAAAAGTAATTATATTACACCAATATTAAAATAATTCCACTGCTTGCTAATTAAGTTTCCAGGCAATGTAGAAAGTACTGGTTGTTACCTTTAAAGCCTTTGATGATTTGAGTGCAGCTTGCCTATGGAACTGCCTTCTATATAAGTTGGCCCATACACTCAGGTCCTCTGGAAAGCATTTAGTCAGCCAGAACTAGGCTGACCAATGTTACCTTGAGGACATTTCCTTCAGCCATCCTAGATTATATAACAACCTTCTGGAGAAGATCCACCAATCGGATATAATATCTGACTTTAAAAAAAAGTGTAAGGACCACTCTCCTCCAGCAAGACTGTCAACATGATTTTTAAATTACAGATGTTAAAACTCTGTATAGCTTACTTTTATAAATATTAGTTTTATATCATTTACATTGCTGGATTTTCTGGATTTTACAATATGTGCATGTACATAATTGTATATGCACATGAGACACACGCACATCTTGAGGCATCTTGAAAATGTATCATGAATATGAAAACAATTTTCAATAACTGTGTGCATGAAACTAAGTTTGTGTAAGCTGAAACATCAGAAGGCAGAAAGGTCACTACCCCGGAATTTTGGAGTTTGGAGCTTTTTCGATTACCTTTAATAATAAATAATAGGTAAGCAGACTAGTGGAGTTAAGATACTTGTTTGAGAGAAGGTCACTATACATTTTAAAGCATTTATGAAATATCAGCTAAAGTTTAAAACAAAGGAATTGCATACAAGAAGCTGAATCTTATAGGAGAGGAGAGGACCAATGAAATACCTTTTAGCCCAAAGGCAACAGTCAGTGTTAAGGGATGTCCCCTTGAATTGTATTCCAGTATGGAATAGGAGTAGAGAAATATGAAGGCACTAAAAAAATCCCAGCATGTTTTAGATGAAAATTCTTGCTGCCAGTTTCAATCTCACTGCACAGCAATGGGAATCATATGACAATCACAACATGTTGGATTGCATCTTTTATTAGCCCCAGCCAACACAGCCTATGGTGCGAAATAGTGGGAATTCCAACTGAACAACATCCCAAAGACCACAACATTCTAACTTATTTTAGAATAAAATCTTATTTAAAAGCTAGGAAAAAACAAGTGGTGATATAATTAGCCGCCATGAGTCTCTATCGGGAGAAAGGTGGGGTATAAATAAAATAATAAATGGATAATAAAAGCTGAGGACCTTTGGGGAATGTCATAGAGCTACATTAGACCCCAAGGTCTAATGTTCCACTTTGTATTTCAGAAACACAGTGTTTTTCCACTTCGGCTCTGACTTTAAGTGGCTAAATTTTTCCTCACCCAAAAATGAAATCCACATTGGAAAAGGGCATACTGAACTCTACATTAACAAAGGTTACAGTGCAGACCTAGCTAGTGAAAATGTCAGATTAAACATAAATATGTAGTTTTAGCTTTCATGCGAGTGCATGAAATGAGCTCAGTTTACATTTTTAAGTGGCTCAATTTAAAAGGCCAGCTTTTTGTTTAGTTTTAAAAAATTACCATGTAAGCCTAGAAAACTTCACACTGAGGCAGTGCCACAGTAAGTGGGAATCCTGCATTTTCAAACTACCTACATCATCATCTTCTTTGTACTTTATTCCCTGAAAATATTCTGATACCAAGTAACTGACCCAAGTAATTGGAGTCCAATACAGCTCAATAGTAGATTCACATGCTAACTAAGTGTCTAATTTTCTCCCAACAAGGAGCTCAAAGTGGCTCACAGCATAGTTTAAGGTACAGTTAAGAAACAAGGATATGTATAAGATACAGAAATTATACTATTAAAATAGTAATAAAAGGACACCTTTTTTAAAAATGAAGCCCTTCTGCAGTAGAAATCAGGAGCTAACTAGACACAAAAACAGAAAATAAGCTTGAGGAGACCAGCTCAACAAACAGAAGGGGAAAGATCATCTGCTGAAATCTGTCAGCCCAGATGACAGAATATAAAATGAAATAGGCATGCAAGCAAGACAAGAACCCAACAACTTTAGCACAGGGTCAGGAAAGCCAGGATAGCTCTCCCCACTTCCCTGTTTGATCTTTAAATTCCCCAACTCTATAAGTGAAAAAACCTTATAGGTATCGAGCCTGAAAGCTTAAAAGCATGGAAGACTATCCAGTATACTGTATCACACGTATAACTGTCTACTTGATAAAAGTGATGGATGTGTGCTCAGTTCAATGAGTAGCTGGTTCTCAGATATTATAAATTATGCGACAGCAGTACCTGGGGAGATTCATATGTGATTGTTTTAGTCTCTGTCTGAACAATTGGTACTTCCTTGGTAGATATTTCAGTTCTCTGTGAAGCATCTGAAATGGTCACCATCTCTGTTTTAACCACAGGCGGCTAGTGTTCAGGAAGACACAGAACATCATGAATTCACAAGTCATAACAAGGTAAAACATATGGCTTTTATCAATCTATCGAGTAAGTTAAGCCACAAAATACCAATATTGAAAGATGTTTTTAAAACTTTTAAGCCAAAATCTTCAGATGAATATCATGCACAAATGTCACTTCCTGCCTATAAAACATCTAAAAACAAGGTTAGGTTTTCCATATTATGCATGGATTGCAATTCAAATCAGTATCTTATAAAAATATCATGAATAAACCTTAGCATCCAAGTAAGCTGTATAATGTTTAAAGCTTTCAAAAAACTAAACTATAGATAATCACAAATCCCCACTGTGTGTATGCCTGGCTTAGAATCAATTGAAAATGCTGTAACTTGATGTGTAAGTTTTTTAAAAACGTGAAGTACACTGTTACAATATATTCACAGTAGAGGAAGTACAAATAGCTTCCACTGTAGAAAAAGTACAAATAGCTACTATGTACTTATATTTATTCAAACAAATGTGCTTTATGTATGCAAAGATGCCACTACAGAAGTGATGTTGCACAGCTTCCAGAACACACAACACCTTTTTATATCACATGTGACACACTAAATGTTTAACTGCAATTTCCATCATCCCTATCCACTGGTTAGGTTGATTAGAGTGGATGGCAACTGCAGTCCAACAATATGTAGAAGGCCATGTCTGGTATGGTGCACCTTTGAGAAACACTTTCAACAGAAGAAATCTTGCATCTGTGAACAAGGTAAAATTTATGAGCTACATGCCTTTGGCTAACATTATAGTTTTCATAAATCTACTTCTGTTGTTAGGTAGAAATGCATTGCCTTAGAGAGCTACTACACACATATTTCTAACTTGATATGGAACTACCCATGCAGATAGGTGTTGTCAGTATTGTTCCTTCACCAACACTACTGCTATATGTACCAGTCTGGAAAAAAACACACACAACTGCAATACTAAAGGTTATATTTTTGGAAGGGGTTCAGGGAAGATAGGATTTTATCCTCGCACATTTCAAAAGAAGATTGGCGCAAGTACTATTTGAAAGGAAAATAGAAGTATATAGATGGAATACAATTTTTGAACAGTCCTTTTACTTTTCATTCTCAAATGACCTTTTGTGTTGTTATGCACAACTTTGCAATATATTTGTTCCTCTGGTAGACTACACGTGATAACTAGAATATTTATATTTTCAAAAGCTTTGGGCTAAAACCAATAAGTGTATTCATTACAGTATTTTGTAATGCTATATGGAAGCCAACATTGATAATGCATGCTCATAAATCCTGAATGTTTCTGTATCAGGATCTAGGCAGCAATATCACAAAATACCTAGGGGAATATAGCAAATCAAACAAGATCCTCCCCAAAAGTGCCCCAGGAATTTTAAGAAGCACATATTATATGATATGATTTGGCTATACACTTCAGCATTCCAATTAAAAGTTAATGTAGGGTCATAAAAGACTAACACTTTAGACAGGACAAGACTCAAACAAATTAACACACAAAAGCAAAAGATGAAAAAGAAAAGAAGATGGTATAATCCCAGCAAGTTTGCTCTTCTGGGAAACCAAAATAGATGTAGCAAAATTTCAAAAGCCATAGCCAAAGGCAGAATTTGCACATCATTTTTTTCTCCCTTCCAGATCTTAATTTGTTTGAAAAACTGAAGAGGACAGAGAAGAAGAAAGGCAGAGATATTTAACCTTATGATGAGGAATCTAATCTAGAGTTCCTTCTTCTTGTACCATTTACCTCAGAGCAACAAATTATTTGTGGTGAAACATCAATGTCAATATGCGATGCCTCTCCGTTTACTTTGAGCTGTTCTTCCACCCTCTCTTCTTTCAGAACTTGCTTATCCATTTTTGGGAAGTTTGTCTCTCTGGATGTCTCTCTGGATACTTCATTTGCCTGAGCAAAACCTTCTGTTACTTCTGTGTGCTCAACTGTTACTTGAGCAGGACTGATTTCTTCTGAAATGTTCACACACACTATTGTATCTGCCTTCTGTTGCTCCTCCTCTTTAATAACTTCATTTTCCTCCGGTTCTTCCTTTATAGAGTCCTGAGTTATCTGTTGGTATGGGCGATATTCTCCTGCTTCATCTTCACTCTCACTACTGTTGCTATCTGATGACAATGAGGAAGAGTTCTTTTTCTGTTGATGCTCCGTCTTCTGAATTTCCCCTCCAGCAGAGACAACTTGCATTTTGTCCCTGTTGGTATCATCTGTGACTACTGTCTCTTCTATCCCAACCTCTGCCTGCTTCTTCTCCACTACGCTCAGAGTCTCATGCGAACTCTGCACAAAACAAATGGATGAGGAAAAACAAAAAGTAGAACATATGAATAAATAAAATAATGAACATAAAGCTAAATGATGGATGGTTTCATTCACATGAAAAACGAAGATGACTGTAATTATGAATAAAAAGGGGGAAAAACCAAGGAAAGAAGAATGATTCAGAAATGTCAAATGGACTATGGCAAAATAGGAGAACCTTAGTAGTCTTGCTGGTTCCCATGGAGAGCTCTTCTGATTGGGGAGTAAGTCTCTGTGGAACAAAAAGCAACCAGAAGGCACATATAAATGTCTACATCTGCTTTTCTCATTTCACAAACAGCACAGAGAGACTACTTGCACACTTAAATATTTATGGCACCGTTTTGTTAAATCAGCACAAGAAAAAGCACACAGAAAAAATACAATATGCTAGACCCAGTAAAGTCAATGGTTCTAGTCATTACTAGTTTTCACAGGAACTACAACAAGTATGACTAAATGTGGGTCCAACCCAGTGTTTTTAGAGTACTATAAAATATTCTACTTCTAAAGACACACAAAAATAGTGCTTCCTTCCACATTTAAAAAACAAAGATAAGGCAGGATTTAGAGAACAGGGATTAATTTTTCAAGTTTGTAGCATTTTACTTTTATTTGTCTAAATTTGTCTTCACCAGGGAGCAAATTAACAATGAAATGTATAATTTACACTTTAAAAAAGTATTTATTTATCTTTAAAAATGGAATAAAGACACTGCCAAGTGGCAATCTACTTAATAGTTATCAGTGGCGGAATTCAATCATTCAAGAGCAACTTTGTCTATGTGCATGCAGTACATTTTTCTAACAAAATTACTATATGTAAGAAACAATTGGCACTTCTTAATGGAATACTACATGTTTGCAAGGTGTCTCTTTATATGACCATCATAAACTTTTGAAATATTATATTCTCCCCAAGCATAAGTACTGCTGCCATATATTTGTTGGCTATTCCTGAGGAAATATATATTTTTCTATAGAATGGTTCTATATCAAATGGAGGAGAAAAACGGGTATGTGGCAATACAAACATAAAACAAGTTCCTGTATTGTCATACATACTAGTTCAAAGAAACTGATGCTGTATTTAAATATTCATAATGAACTATTGTCAATACCAACTGACTGATGTAGATGTTAATACCTAAAAAATGACACACAACAAGTAAATAAAACCAAAATGCAGTAACTGAAAGAAAAAATCAACTTTATCTTCAGTTAAATGCACTACTTCATCTGCAACATGATGGAGAATTTTAATTTCACACAATAAAAATGTACAGGTTTATATTCACTATCAATAACAGATTAATTTCAAATATACGTGGAATATAAAAGCGCAATATGTAAACAGGAAGGACTATGGTTTTTGTATGCCTGCCTTAAAATGCATTTAGATTTTTCCTTTACCCTCATTTTGCTAAAAGTGTTCCATCTAAAATTTACAAGCAATCCATTCCCACTACATGTGCAGAGGTGAGCTGAACATGGATATGATAAAGGAAGTACATTCATGCAGGAACTCTGTGTGCACATCAGAGCTCCCATAATGCTCTTATTTTCTAGCCAATTTTGCTATTTTGTTGAAGAATTATTCCCTTCCTCCCATCTACATATATGGCTTTATATTGGAAAAAGAAATGTGGAAAAGCACCTCAGGCAGCTGAGAGGAGAGAGAAGCAGAGAGCTTTTCAGAAGGTATATTATCTTTCACAACAGTGCCCTCTGTTGTCCACAAGGTAGCTGAAGTGAAGGCTGATTTCATACTACTGGAAAAACCCTCTTTACTAAATAAAATTGATGCTATCTCCTCTTCTAGGCTCTAGACAAGTTAGAAAACGGAAAGTAACAAATTAACAGCAGAAGACAAAACAGCAGTGACCTACAAAAGAGACATCAAGCAAGAAAGGAAACAAAGGACATGCAAAGAGAGAAAAAGCACACAGAAAAGGACAGTACATTTACATGCATTTCTTAAAAGAAGCAGCTCACACCATACTTTTATGACAAAAAGCTCAATAAAAATGACCACAGCATTAGGAGTGCTACAGTGTGTCCTGTTCACTTGTTTTAAAAACTTCAGACTTTAAATTACAATCTACATAAAATCTACTACATCGATTAAAACTAGATTACATTTTCAAATATTATTTTCAGACTTTTAATGTTGCCATTTTTAAAATAAATACGTTATATTTTTAGAAAATAGAAACTAATCGCATTAACTAGGAAAGGTGGGCCAACTAGAGGCTGAGATCCTGTATGGTCAGACATAATCATGATGACGAAGAATCATTGTGTTTAGTTATGTTTAAGAATGTCTCATTCCTCCTCAAAAGAACCCTGATTGGACCCTAATCTAAGTGTTTATGACTAGCTTCAGATAGGGAACATAGAGAAAAAATATCTGCCCTACAGTCCTGGTCATGCAATGAATGGAGAAGAGACAACTGGAGAAATCGCTAAGGGTCCTACCATAACTAATAGCCTTAATACACCCTGAGACCAAGAGAGTGTGGCACACATCAGGTCCCAGAGCCCCTACCTACAGGGACTCAGGAATGTATTAGTCAAGGTGCTGCCATGTTGAAAACGTACGCTTTTGGGGGGTCACATTAATGATCCATTTAGTTTACAATCTTACAACTATTGAAGAGAATGCTAGACATCAGAATTACAATGAAGAATAAAACTGGAGCGAATGTGGCAGAGGAACAAAGACAAAGTCATCCACCTTTCTCTCTTTAATCCACGCCATTAAAGTTATTTTGAAAATACAAACAACCAAGAACACTTTCCCAGTTTACATTAAAAATTAAAACAGTAAAAACAAACTATTGCAAGGAGCAGGAACATTCAACAAAATATTTTCAAGGTACAACAACAGAAAATTTTAAAAAGTTCAGAACACATCTTCTCTGAAAGATAAACTGTTCTAGTTGTTCAGCTTCTCAGAAAATGACTCATACATTGTACTTTTTATTCTTATCAGTTGTAGAATTAGCTATCAATATGTTTAGTTATATGTTCCTTGATCTTTGCCTTATAGCAATGATAAAGATCTAAGAACAGAATGTATTGGTGATACCATTATGTCAAAATAAAAAGTTACATTACGCTGGGATTTCAGTTATAACATGCACATGCATAGGAAGAACTAAGTTAAAAACTGAAAAAATGTGAGAGGAATCTAACTTTTAGAATACTTCTTATTTCAAAGATGAAGGGTATTTTATGTGAGTGTGGCTATTTATGTAGTTCTCCACATATTCACACATATGAGTTTGCACCTGTTCAGAACCTTCAAGAAGGAAGATTTTGGTAGTGTTCCTGTTTCCATTTCCTTATGCCTATAGTCATGCTGCCATAACAACCCGCCATTAGCAGAACAATAAAAGAAATGAAGAGGGAGAGGATGACTTGCATGAATGCACAGCTGCCTACTTGAGCTACCTTTACAAGTGGAGAAATGTCCTTCCCATTAGTCTCTGAGCAACCTTATCAGAAAGATCAGGTGGGAATGTAGATTATGACAATACTGGTGCAAGTACAGTGCTCCCAAAAGCTACATCCACTGTGACATGCCTAGGCAGTAGTGTTGAATAAAAACTGATGGTTAGGTTACTGGCTGGCAAAGTTGGTAGCAGTGGTCTGCATAAACTAACTATGGAGGAAAAAGAGAGAAGCAGTTTAACCAGCTGTAAGATACATTTTTATGATTCATTTGGCAAACAGTTGGGGAAGACACATGTTCTCTGCATTTAGGTCTAGAACAGCAGACAAAGAAGCATGTGTAACTCAAAATAAGGCCAGCATCTCAGAAACACTGGAAGGAACATGTCACTGGGCACTTACAGGATAGGATAAAATGTCAGGAGAATGACCTGAGCCAAACTCTGGAAAGAATGCTATATTCAGCAGTTTTGGAGAACTTTCCTGCAGTATGGAGAACAATAGAGAAATTGTCTGTTACATTTGACAAACACCCAAGTATAATTTTATTACTTAGAGTCGTTCTCAAGCATGGATAGAGAGAGACCATTAAAGCTGAATTTGCTGTGGCTAATAAAGTCATCCCCATGGGAATCAAGTACATATTCTGGGTATTGATAGACAGATACTATGAGTAAAAGTTCCAAGTGAACAATCTGAACAAAACAGAGCTAAAGTGCTGGAAGTGGTAGAAGAGACAGAAATTCTAAAAATTTTATATTCCAGAAGATTTTGAACCAATCTTTGAGCAGGCACATATGCGTGATATGTAGAGATGATGATGAAAGGAAATATTTCTGTCAGGGTATGCTGGAATTTAAATTCATAATTTTCTAACTGTAAAATGAATTTTGATGTTACATTTTAAGCTCTGTGTTTATTAAAAAGCCAGTCTAGTTTTCAGTCACAGTGATATTAGTATATTAGTTAGACATCTGTTCTGTTTTAAATGTAAAAAAAAATATGGTATCACCATCACAGTCATATCTTTAAGTGATAAACAATGTCATCCTTCTCACTAGTATGAACAAGTTATTAACTTGGTTCTTGGTGATGTTTGGTTCATTTTAGATTAATGTATAAAGATTACTGGAATTTGAAACTGTTGCATAAGAATATTCTGAGAAGCTGAACAACTAGAACACTATCTATCCCATATATACTGATAAAAGAGTTATTTGGAGAAGACTATTCAGCCCATTAATGAAAAAGAATTCCCAACTTTCCAAAGTTAAAACATTTTTTTCAAAACAATTGATTTAGAGTTTTTTTTTTATTTAGAGCATTTAAAATCATCCTTCAACTCCCATTCTACTGGGCACTCATTGAGAAGGAGGCAGTCAGCAAGATATAGCAACATTGTGTCTTATATAGCATTTATTGTAATAATTATTAACGCTAATGTACATTGAAGGCCTGAGAGCAAACTAAAATTTTGTAAGCTGCTCAGAGTGCCTTTGTAGCTGAGGAGGGGGTAAAAAGTATCTAAATATATAATAACTATTCAATCATGTATGCTGTTTTAGGAAGTCACAGATGAAATTTGTTACTAATCATCATAAAGAAAGTACAGTCCTTTTTGGGCTCTGTGTCTGAGGAAGAAACAAGCTCTCCACAAAGAACCAAAGATCACACACAAACAACTACAATGGACACAGACAAGATATTATTTAAATTGTCACATGATTTAGCAAAAAAGGAGAAACATATACCCGTGCCTCAAAAATATGGACCCTATTTGAAACTGCTTTATTTGTACAACTACAAGCTACCCATGAATGAAACTCTTACTACTTGAAATGGTGGTGCATTGAGTTTGAAATGATGGCTAGTGAATGCCACTCCCAGTGTGCGAAGAGCCCCGAGTGTCACCAAAACATAGGGTCCAATGGGATATCGTCTGTTTGTGAGATTATTTTTTTAGATTTGTTTTCTGGCTTAAAATGTTTATTAAGACTTTGTAACTCATGAGACTGTTTGCAACTTTTATGTAACATGTTCCCATTGTGAAATAAACTGCTTTAAAATTGGGTCCATCATTTTGATAAACCCTGTATCAGAGTATGATTTTTGAACCATAATTTCTACATGCCAGAAATAGAGCAATTAATTAGCCTTTTTACAAGAAGAGAAAAATCCTATATCTCTAGAACACTGTAAATGGTACCAATATGTATTTGGTGCAACCTAAGTCTCTGTCCATGGAATTATCAGTTGAGTGTCCTTGTATTTATTCAAAAAGTTTTACCTATGTACTACTTCGTCATTTTACTGTTAGAAACATTGCAAATAGTATTTTAAGAAAAACTCAAATTAATTGCAGACTAAACAAACCAAAGTGATAAAAAGTTTTTGGAAGGCACAAAATTCAAAAAGTGAAGTTTCAGATAACATCCTTTGCAATTTTTCTCTTTTTTGGCAACATTAATTATACTTTTATTCCACTGAAGACAAATTCCCCTGTTATTACGTTCTTTTTTGGTAATTTTGTAGGAATTATGTAATTTATCAAATCAAAAGTAGTGAACAAGGAAGAAAACAATAGCTTTACAAAAGCAAGAAAGAACTCTGAGAGAAGAATGTCAACACCTCTGAAGAAAAGAGGAATGTGGAAGTGTGTGGACCATTGTATAGAAATTCTGAAGGATCACCGCACATGCACAATGTTAAAAGTGACATCTGTATCAAGCAGCACACTTAATTTTTTAAAAACAGAAAACATTTCTTTAAAATCTTCACTTTAATGCCATATCTAAGGATTTTTAAAAATGGGCATGTCATTGGTTTTGAAAAACATACAACACCTTTCTCTTGTACACTTTGCCCCACAGCATACAGAATGGGAACAGCTATTCTTCCAAACTCTCTATGAAATGGAACTCATTAAAGCTAAAAAGACATTGCATATCTGTAATATGCCATCAAACTGACTAGTTACCAAGTACTGCAAAGCTACGTGTAAAATGTTTATAATGGTAATGTCCTGACCAGATCAACTGGGTTATTCAGATGACAATGATTTCAGGGATACTGCACTAATATAATTCAAAATTGCACTGAAATATTTCTTAAAATATGTTACCGTAATTGTCACCCTCTGTATCCATAGACAATTAGTATATTTCTTTGCTTTCACTCACTCTCACACAAACACACCCACTCATACTCAAAAGAAGCAAACCTCTAAAAAGCACTGAACAAAAAAAAACCTGTCACATATACTCGACTATAAAATGATCTTATGGATAAGTTAAGGTCAGGTTTGGAGCCCAAAATTACAGAATTTGCTATGACTTGTGGGTAAGTCAAGAGTTCATCACATAAAACCTAGGTTCGCATAACAAGTTCGCTCTAAAGGTTAGATAAATAATGAAGGAACTAAATTGTGGCTCGTCAATGTGTGGGAGACTCACTTTGGACTGTTCATGTAAGCAGATATATCTTGCAAAAGTGCCTAGCGCAG